CAGTTGAGTACACTTAGATGTTCTTAAGATTATCTTAAGAAGTACTAAAGAATAATTTTAGTATATTAAGTACAAAATTAGTGTGCGAAAATAGAGCACTTTATTTTTTTAAAAGTTTGTTCTTTTTTTTTTTTTTTTTTTTTACCTGTGTTAAATATCAATAAATATTAATTCTGTCATCATTTACTCAACCTCATGTCTGACTTACTTTCTTCCTACTGTATACCACAAAGAGAAAACTGACTTCTGTTACAGCTTTCATTCTCAATTCAGCATATTCCAATTTTTTTTATATTTTTTTTTATTGAAAATTGTATCAAACTTGTAGCATTTTTCAAAGATGAACAACATGTGATTGAAAGTACAACAAGCAAGTACAACAACCCATCTGTGGCAGCCTTGGGCAACCATGATGACACCAGATAAATCCTATACTTTTATTAAAAAAATTCTGAGCTCATGCAACAATAGACTTCCGCCGACAAACGTTTTGTTTCAATTTTAGGTTCGGATTAGCTGTTTGTTCAAACAATGGGAGGCAAGGGAAGCAGGAGTGTTTTGGAACAATTCTGTTTAGTACAAAAATGACACTTTTAAAGCTAGTCAGGGGTAAAAGTGATTTGTTAGATCTTTCAGAATTGCGCACCATTGTGAAAAACATTCTGTGGAATCCTGCCAGACTGTTGTTACATGGCTCTGTGGTCTATGAACTGCATTTATGATGTTTTTGGAAGCTTAACGCTGATTATCAGCGAGTATGTTCTGTCTCACGGTAGTCTCGGTGCTGAGGCTGCATATTAACAAATCACCTCCTGTTTGTCTGCGCCAAGAGTCCGTTTATGAGGCTGTAATGATTAATCTCACTGTGAAGTACACAGCAATATCCTCCTGTCTATATTTTTTCTTTTCATCAGCTCGACGGAAATGACCCCATACTAGAAAATCAAACCGCTATGTACGGTCTCAGTGAAGTGTGTCTCTGTATAGTATGTGTTTGTTGTACCTGAAAGGAGCTGAGGCTTTTGAATTATTGAGTGACTTTGTTGTGTAAGTGTCCCTCGGAGGGCCGGGACAGGCCTGCGGTGCCGCGTGTTCGTGTGCCATATGTCCACTGCTCCACACTGAGGCGCTGCATACACTGTCCTTCACCCCTGTAGGCTTGTGGTGAGATGAGCAGAGACAGACGTGTTGGGTATGGAGTCATGCCATGGAGAAGTGATTTTTTTTTAAGAAATCAGACTTAAGTTTTTTTTTAAAGGGACAAATTAAATGTGAGAAGGGTGTCTTCACTGTGAGTGCTGGTATACAATCTTCCAACACTGGTATTTTTCGCTGTTTGTATAACTCCATTTGTCTGTGTTTGTGTATTTCAGACATTTAGTCATTTTAATCGTTTCACCAGTAGGTGGCAACACGTCTTTATGAGTGAAGTTATTGACCCATATGTGCAAATTATTCTGTCAAAAAGACTGATTCCTTTAGGAAGGAAACACGTGACTCTCTTTGAATGAGTCATTGAATCATTTACTCAGCTGATTCACTCAAGCATGTTGATTCACTCAGGAACAAAAGAAGTGATTGTCTTTATGAGTGATTCATTTAATTATTCATTGAACCAATTAAATTAAAACATTGACTCAAATAGTATCTAAACAAATGACTCACTCAATTCTGAATATGATACTATAATATTACTCTTGCTATTTCTGTCTTCTAAGGATATGGCTACAATAGTAATAGTATTCTGCTAATATGCTATTCCAAATACAGCCACTGTCCTTATAAGTGAGTCATTGAATCGTTCATTTATCTAATTCATTCAAAACACAAATTAATTCAGGAATGAAACAAGTGACTGTCATTATGAGGTAGTCTGTGAATCATTTATTTAACTGATTCATTCAAAAATGCTTATTCAAGAACCAAAAAGTGACTAATTATGAGTTAGTAACTGCATTATTCATTCGACCTATGTATTTGTTTAAAACATTGGTTCATTCAGGATTGAAACTAGTGACTCACTGAATTAGGAAAAGCAAACCAGCATAAAACTCTTTCTGTTTCTTTATTTAGACCTTAAAATTTAGACACAATGCTGCCAGATTTGTCTGTTTTTGCTCCACAATCATAAACTGACAAACTGGCAGTATCGTCTCTAAAATATACGTTTAAAATTTTAAACAGATAATACAAGATGCCAATACTGAATCTCAAACGGTAATGTCAATAACAAATCCCTGGTCATGTTCTCTTGTGTATATGTACTGAATGTAAGAGTGCACTGTAGGTTAAAACTTAAAAGTACATCGTGACGGGTTAGTTAGGCGCTGACCCCAGTTGTCCCATCAGGCCAGATTCCAGGGGGGTTCAGTCTGTCCATCCATGGGTGAGTGTGGGATGATAGAGGAATGTATGGGGATAGGCCGATAAGAGTTGGGGGTAATGGAAGGGCTGGAGCACGACGGAACAAAAATCAGCTCTGGAAATGGAATCCGCCGCTGGAACGTGTCCAGAGATATTGGAAGGCATCTTGTAGAAAGAGGCTATTAAAGATCACAGGAGTGAGCAGCCTGTGGCCGTTTCCCTCGTAGGTTAGAGGTATGAGAGACGGATGTATCTGGGGGGTAGGGTGTGGGGGCCGATCCAGAGACAAGCCTCTCAGGCAGATACCTGACCACAGAAAGGCTCTCCGCCTCTTGATTTGGTCTTAATAGTGAACGGACCTGATAAAACACGACAAACTCCAGGACCCCAGGCTAATCACAACAGCAACATGACCGCAGCTAATCCATTTTACACGACATCTCTTTTTAAAACTGCATCCGTGCTCCTGGCACGACTGTGCTTTATGTGAGACGAAAGTCCTCATTTGCAGGGCAGGAAACACCAGCATGGGGCTCAGAGCAGTAATTAACTGCTAAATTATTTAAGTACAATGCTAAATTGTACAAGTTTCATCAATAATCTATTGTAGCATTAAGGCTATGTTAGCGAGTATCACCACTAATAGCCGCCCTGCTGGCCATCCTGCTGTCCTACTTCATCGGTAAAATATCTCATTCTCTCTTTTTTAGCCTTTCAATGAGCTTTTTATTGACTATAATGTACTTTTTATAATCGATTGAGAGACTCATTTAGGCATTATAATGAGCACTTATATCTGTACAAACACTGATTCGGTGATAGCAATAAGCAGATCATTTAATTCCACATAGAGATTAAGTAGGCTATTCATCATTAGATTGTGTGTGTGTACTGTATGTGTGTGCATATTTTATCCAGATGCTTCTCATTATTGAATGTGCCTGAGGAGAAATGTAGAAATGTTACCTAAATCATACTGGGTGATCTGTGACTAGAACTCACCAGTTACATTGTTAAGATCTGAATTATTAAAAGCAACGTTTCAGCTTGTGCTTTTTGCATCTAAGCTGCCCAGCTGGCTTTAACCAGCTGATTCTTAAAAGGACTCTGATTTTTACACAAGCACAATTATGCAACAGAGTTAAAAAAAACAAAAACAAAGTGCAATGCATTAAAACACATTAGAAACAACCAGGAATATGCTAATATCATAATGCATTTTAACTTTTTTTTAGTTATTTTTGAAAAAATGTGATGCATTATAGTGTACATTATGAATACCTTTATGATGCATTATGCATAAAGGCTTCAAGTGTTACCAAAGTGACATTATGATACATAAAGTCACAATTTTGAAATAAGTTACCATGAAAAAATAGCGACAGTTAGATTTTAATTTATTTTTTACTAGGTAGAAACAGGTTTAGATGTTTCTTAGATTTCCCAGAGTTCTTTTGTAAAGGACGTTTATTTATTTAATTACAGATATGTATGAATGCTTGAGTGATCAAAGGAAATTCAAAAAAAAAAAGTCATTGTATTACAGCTGGGTTCTCGCTTATTAATCAAATATTGAGTAAGACTCTCTTAACAGCTAGTTTATTTGAGAATGAATTGAGTAAAGGTGGAATGAGTGAATCTCACCATTGATGGTACTAATTTTAATCAGAGGATTTCATATTATTTTGTGTTACTGGTCCAATTTAAAATTTGAATTTACTAGTCATGTAAACTACATATACTCATGAATAATTATTTCAGTCTATTTACAAAATGCTTGTTTACTCTCTGAATATCCATGTCAACCTAAAGTCAATGTCGGCCTCTGATCGTGGAGGACACTTTAAATGCAAAGCACTGCCGTGAGTCTTTAACCCCACACTGCGTCCGTGAAGGACACGCTCGAGGGTGTTATTATTTTCAATAAGACCTCTCTGGTTTCGTGTTTTGTGAGTGTATGCGAACGTCAGTTATTGGGTAATGGAGAAGCGGTGGCCTTCCCCTCACACCTCACGGAGCATCGTAAGGACCCCCAGTGGAGAACAGAAATGAGTCCTCGCTCTTCACACTGGATGAGTTTAATACTGAGGGTGTGAACAGCATGAGAACGCAAGAGAAAATGAGAAAAAGGTACACTCTCAATGAACATCAGAGAGAAAGTGCGACAAGGATAGAGCCACAAAGCCACATAGACAAACAAAAGCGCACACAGAGGTAGAGGTTGTCTTTCTGTGGCCTCTATTAGAAGCACACCTGGGCTGGGGAGTTTTGCTCTGGCAGGATGCCTCAGTCCCCTCTGTGTCTCTATTTAAAAGCCCTAAGCAAGGGGCAGATGTGTCACATGGACCCTCGCTGCCCCTCTTCTCTCTGGGGACCCCGCTCAACAGATGGGGCAGTCAGCAAGTGCAGGAGTCAGCACAAGCACCCTTGTTCTTCCTGCCTGCGCCGCTGTACATGTATTCAACTACCCGTCTGCCTTTCCCATGTCCTTCAGTGCTCCACGCTCTTTTGTGCAGTCTGAAACCCAGCTCACAGATAAAACCACACAGATATCAACAGTGTGTGGACACTGAAGTGATCATTGAAAGTGCCATTTAAAAGTTTGGGGTCTTTAAGTTTTTATGCTTTTTGAAAGAAGTCTCTTATGCTCACCAAGACTGCATTTAATTGATTTACAAAAATACAGAAAGACAATTATATTGTGTATTATTATTATTATTATTATTATTATTATTTGAAACTATATTGTAGTATATTTAAAAATGTAATTTATTACCATGATGGCGACGTTGATTTTTTTTTTTTTTTCAGCAGTCATTACTCCAGTCTTCAGTGTCACATGATATTTCTGAACATGTGATCATTTTAATATGCTAATTTGCTGCCCAGGAAGCATTTCTTCTTATTATCAATCTTGAAAATCTTGTTGTGCTGCCTAATATTTTTTGTGAAAATCATGATACATATTTTTGATACATTTGCAGGATTTTTTGGTGAATAAGTTCAAAAGAACAGCTTTTTTTTATTATTGAAATCTTGTGTGACATTATAAACATATTTGCTGTCACTTTTGATCAATTTAATGTATTCTTGCTAAAATGCATTTCTTAAAAAAAAATAAAATAAAATAAACTTCCTGGCCCCAAAATTTTGGATGGTAGTCTATGCATTATATAACAGAATATCAATTTAAGTGCTATTTATTTTAAAGATTACAAATTAAAATTAAATAAATATACAAACAAATGTTCTGGTTTTGTGATGATACTACACCAGTGTGATGAACTGCATCTGTGGATGAATTAAATTGAAAGTAATTTCAAAAATAGCCCAGAAAGCGAAAGTGGAGCTAGTACTGGCAAAAGCTCTAGCATCATTTGTTTGCATATGCCACTGATGTTTTGTTTTGTTATGTAGTGCAATGAATTGTATGTATTTTTTATTAGTACTTAGTGTCCAAACACTTATCAAATAGTAGTGAGTCATATAACAGCTGTATATTGTTTGAGGTTGAACTTTTATTTTGGTCTGAACAGGATTCATTCCAGGGGGAGGATTCATTCAGTAAATGTGTATTTACTTTTCAAAAGGTAATTCTAGCTGTACTGTAAGCAGTATTCAGTGGATGGAGGTCTTAACTGCCGGAAACTGACCCTGCTTAAGCTCTCTGACAGTGTGTTTATGGACGTGTTCACATCTGTGTGCGTGTTCGTATATTAGTGTGTCCCCACAAATAGATAAATGTGCCACTGCAGCATTTTCCCGAACACAGACGTGGCTGCTAGTCTGCTGAGAGCTGCCCAATCTCCTTGGGAATGGAGAGAACGCACAGGGGAGAGAATGAAGAAGTTATTTTTATTTCCTCATCTTTTACTGGAGGCCTGAAAGACTCCTTTTTGCTTCATTCTCTTTGGGGATGGATAACTGTCCCAGAACGGCATCATAGCCCCTGAAAACCCGAATTCAGCACCAGGAGAGGAGGACTCACAGATGCTCGTACTAACACATTTCAGCTCCCTGTGGCTTACATTCACACACACACACATACTTACATACAAACACAGGTGTGCAGAACAGTTCTCTAGTTCTAGGAGAGGTTTTCTAGGAGAGGAAAAGAAAGGACAAAAGAAAAGACAAGAGGAAGAGATGCAAAGAGCAGTGTCAAGATGAGATGAGACAAAAGAAAAATACACAAAATAACTTGATAAATGAGACCTGATGATATGAGGTGAGACAAGACAAGAATAGCCAAGATGAGATACAGTAAGACTAAAGAAAGGGATTAGGCAAAATAACACAAAATGGGACAAGCAAGAATAGAATAGAATAGAATAAATAGAGATGAGAAGAGAAGCATTAAGACAAGAGAAATAAACACAAGATGAGAATAGAAGAAAATAATTAAAGTGAGACTAAAGTCAACAATAAGAGAAAAGGGACGCAACAAGATGAGACCAAATGAGAAGAGAAACATCAATATGAGACAAGACAAAAGATAAGACCAAACGAGAAGAGAGACACCAAGATGAAACCAGAGAGATAGAGATGAGATGAAGTGTTAATAGAAGTGTTGAGACAAAATAAGACTGATTGAGACAAAATAACACAAAAATGAGAAGAGAAGTGTCAAAACGAGATAAGAGTTGAGATGAGACCCGATGAGATGAGATAAGATAAGAACACACATGATGAGACAAGACCAGGGAAAGTGATTAGACAAAATAACGAGATGAGGTCAAACGAGAAGGGAAACGTCAAGATGAGACAAGCGAAACACAGATGAGATGAGCAGAGAAGCATTGAGACCAGATACTATGAGTCAATAGAAAAAGATGAGACAAAGACTAAATGAGAAAAGAAGACAAGCATTAAAGTGAGATAAAATGAGAAAAACAAAATGAGAAAAGATGAGACCAGGGAAAAAACACAAGATCAGGCCAAACAAGAGGGAAACGTCAAGATGGACCAGAAAACAGAGATGAGATGAGATGAGAAGCATTAACACCAGATAATGAGTCAGTAGTAAAAGAACAGACAAAATAATACACAATGAGAACAGAAGAGAAGCTTTAAGGTTAGAACAAAATGAGAATGTGTCAAAGTGAGACAAAAAAAAAGGATGATGAAAGAAGAAAAGTGTCAAAACAAGAAAAGAGAGCATTGAGTAGAAATGAGACCTGATGAGATGACAATAGACATGATGAGTCAAGACCAGGGAAAGACATAATACAAAATTTGTACAAAGTAGCTCAAGATGAGGCCAATTGAGAGGGAAACATCAAGATGAGATGAACGAGAAGAGAAGAGAAGAGAAGAGAAGAGAAGAGAAGAGAAGAGAAGAGATCAGATGGGTCAAAAGAAAAAGATGAGACAAAATAATGAGTACAGAAGAGAAGCAATAAGGGATGAGACCAGATGGGACTAAACGAGAAGTGAAGCATCAAGATTAAATAAGCATTAAAATGAGAAAGAAAGTGAGCCCAAAATGAGAAGAGATGCATCAAAGTGACATAAGCAAAACAAGAAATGATGAAACAGAAAAACAAACAGGATGAGAGGAGAAAAAAAAAGTTGAAACAAGAGTGCATCGAGAAGAGACTTTGCATGCATTCATGACATCACTCTCGGCACTGTGTTGTGAGGCTGCTACAGCTGGGATGGGGTTGCTAGGATACAGGTGAG